GAAGGAGCCATGGAAGTAACATCGAATAAGGCTCACTTTTTAAAGTAAAAAAACGTCAGTTCAAATCGTCACATGTTTATTTTCCCGGTTTAAAAGCTTACCACAGTGGAGGTAGACATGAAACAGATGGTGGCTACTGGATAGCCATTCTCGAGAGTCAAGACAATAGAATGGGGATATCCATGGATATATAATCTAGGGTTTTAATTTATCGATGAGAGAATGACCCTATTTACGTACCATGAACCCTGTTACGTTCCTTTCATACCACGTGCTGTATTTTTTTTGGTTTCATGTGCGGTAGGAGTGGCAACGAGTGGAGCTTTTCATGAGTTGTTCGAGCTTGATTTGTGAAAATCTTAACTCGGTTCAGTTTCAGTCGACCTTGAGCTCGAGCTCGAGCCCAACACAATGGCTCGATTATTAAGTGAGCCGAGCTCGAACCTATTAGAGCTCGGCTCGTAAGGCTCGCGAGCCTGCTCGAATATATATATATATAAAATCAAACTATAGAAAATAATATATATAATAAAAATATTATAATTATTAATTATTATAATTCTTAATTTTTTAAATATAAAATAAAAAATATATATATGATTTTTATTTTTATAAAATATTTTTTTTCTAAATATTTTTATAAAATATAAAACGAGCCAAACCGAACCAAGCTCAAACTTATGAACTTTTGACTCGAGCCGAGCTCGAGCTTAAAGTTCCGCTTGAGCTTAAGCCTTGTAGAATAGTCTCAAGCTGAGCTCGAGCCTGGTACTATTCAGCTTGGCTCGGCTTGAATCCACCCTTAATGTGTAGACAGCGATCCCATTCCAACAGCATCCATCTGTGTGGATCCCAGTCTTATAGTGGGTCCAGTTTTATGGTGAAACGTGGGAGTAGACATTATGTTTGAAGAGTGTTGGGGCAGTTTTTTTGTTGGTTGTAGATCCCAAYTCGGCTTTAGAAGAGTTTCATTAGGCTGAGTATGGAAGGAGTATAAATGCAAATACGTAAATCTTGTATTATTTTGTTTGTATTTATACTGTATGTATTTACATTTGTACTCTTTCCAAATTTGCAGTTCTGGATCCAGTGGAATATCTGGGCTGATACTGAATTTTCCATGTATTTACTTGAACCAAAGCCTTAAGCTTATTTCATTTGGCTAAATAAAGGTGTACTTGAATAACAATTGAGAGATTTGGATTATGACATATATTTCCAAGTTTGGGCCAAAAATAGGCCCAATTTGAATCAACATAGCTTGGTCTCATTTCCTGCTTAATATAGGGCCAATATGACCAAAACCCATCTCATTGTTCTTAACAATATGAAACAGGTATATTACCCATGATTGGGATGAACCCAATTTAGTTTGATTCTTACATTTTGGCTGGTTAGGATTGGGTTATACTTTGGGATTATTGTTTTAGATCGACAAGAAAAAAATTCTTTTTACATATATGATATTTGTAATATATTGATATATATATATATATATATATATATATATATATATCTTTTTAGAGACTAAAATATTAAAAATGGAGGGTATTTTAGTCATTATAAGCCATTTGAAACACGTGTGAACGCATTACATTCATAGACCACTTCTTACCAAATAAGACCTATTATCACTATTCAGATGTATTATCAACTGCTAACTTAGTGTTGTGCATTGAGTGGGGTTGTCAAAACAAGAGTTTGATATATATCACTTTTAATCTAAAAGCTTAAACCATTAGATTGTTGGGTCAATTCTTGTATATAGGTCTCTTGCATCTCCTTTTCTTTTTTCAATGTGAGAGACTCTTTATTCCATATACTAACACATGAATCACAACACTTGATATTAGATGTTTTACTGTCACAAATTGTTCTCATTATTGTCAAAGTAGGACTATATTTCAACAATGTCAATCCAAACAACAATTTCGTTTACTTTAAATTAATTGCTTAATATAAAAAAATGTGACAAATAAACATCACGGTGGCATTCCTAAATGACTATTATGATCTTAAGGCTCAGTTTGGAAAGAGTACAAATGCAAATATGTAGAGTGGAAAACCTTATGTTTTGTATTATTTTGTATGCCTTTGCCCCGTACATATTTGCCTTTGTACTCTTTCCAAACTGAGCCTAAGGCTCAATTTGGAATAAGTATGAATACAAATATGTAGAGTGCAAAACCTTGTATTTTGTATTATTTTTTATGTATTTGCACTGTACATATTTGTATTTGTACTCCTTTCAAATTGAGTTTGAAAGGAGTATAAATACAAAGACTTACCAAATAATATAAAATACATAATTTTGCACTCTACATATTTGTATTTGTACCTATTCCAAACTGAGCCTAAATAAGATATATTGGGCTTTCATAATTTACCTCCATCTATTTATAATAATGACTACTTAATAAATTATAATGGGGATTGGGGGCAACCAAGACTAAACACTATACCACTTGATCAAACAAGCTCCAATATCATGTCAATGAACCATTAAACCTAAAAGCTTAAGCTATTTGATTATATCCTTGAACAAGTATTTATTCTATAAACACACACTCTCACATAAAAGCCCATTGGGATTTAAACATGGACAATCACAAACCCACCCATGTCCTGTGTTAGAATTTAATTAATTACAATGGGATGATGAGATTCTGACATTAAACTACATGGTCAAAGAGACTTTGATATCATCTCAAGGAATCATTCAACCTAAAAGCATAAGTTGTTAAATTAGGACCATGAATAAGTTGTTATTCTCTAACAAAGTCATGATATGCACATTAACTCCCCTCTAACTTAAAATGGAATTCAGCTATAAACTCTGGAATGGTTCAAATTTGCAAAACTTTAGTGAATTGAAATTGTTACAAAAAAAAWGCCCATCTCATATTGCTGCTGAAACAAGTTTCTTCTATCAATTTGCTATCTCAATTTTTGTTGGATGYGTCTCTGGTTACCCATTAGCATTGTAGTAGAATCAGGATGGCTCGTTGTATGCTACACCAAGTTAATTTGAACAAATAAGTCCATATATGATATATGTATCCTCGTTAATTTATATACTTTGTAAACCCTCTTACATTTTTGTCATGCAGGTGGTCAAAAATTGCAAAGCATCTTCCGGGCAGAACTGATAATGAAATAAAGAATTATTGGAGGACGAGAATTCAAAAGCACATTAAGCATGCGGAGAGCTCACCCAGCCTGCAGAACTCTGACCTGAACCCAGATCCAAGCTC